AAACTGACTTAAAAAAAACCGAAAAAATGTTTAAGTGCCAAAAATGTTTAAGTTTAAATGCCAAGAGATTAAAAAGTGCTGACAGCAAATTAGCACCAAAAATTACATATTTCGATTTCCGTAACTGTAAGAGTAGAATATAATAGTTTTTTTTTCAATTAAACAAAGTTCCTTAAAAACTAAAATAAAAATGTTATTTGATGTGTATATATTTAAATTTATTTATCTAAAACTTTTAAAAAAACAATCTATAGCCTATATAAAAAAAATAATAATTAAACTTTGACTATTTATTTACTTTCTAATTTATTTATTTTCTTATTTATTTATTTTCTTATTTATTTATTTTCTTATTTATTTATTTTCTTATTTATTTTCTTATTTATTTATTTTCTTATTTATTTTCTTATTTATTTATTTTCTTATTTATTTTCTTATTTATTTATTTTCTTATTTATTTATTTTCTTATTTATTTTCTTATTTATTTTCTTATTTATTTTCTTATTTATTTATTTTCTTATTTATTTATTTTCTTATTTATTTATTTTCTTATTTATTTTCTTATTTATTTATTTTCTTATTTATTTTCTTATTTATTTTCTTATTTATTTATTTTCTTATTTATTTTCTTATTTATTTATTTTCTTATTTATTTTCTTATTTATTTTCTTATTTATTTATTTTCTTATTTATTTTCTTATTTATTTATTTTCTTATTTATTTTCTTATTTATTTATTTTCTTATTTATTTTCTTATTTATTTATTTTCTTATTTATTTTCTTATTTATTTTCTTATTTATTTATTTTCTTATTTATTTTCTAATTTATTTATTTTCTAATTTATTTATTTTCTTATTTATTTTCTAATTTATTTATTTTCTTATTTATTTTCTTATTTATTCATTTTCTTATTTATTTTCTTATTTATTTATTTTCCTATTTATTTTCTTATTTATTTATTTTCTTATTTATTTTCTTATTTATCTATTTTCTTATTTATTTATTTTCTTATTTATTTATTTTCTTTGTGTTAATTCTTTACAATGGTGTTTTTCATCTCTTTGCTCAAACTGCGCTCAATGGAGTATTTTAAAATTAAAGACGATTTTAAAATTTTTTGTTTAAGTGCGCTATATAGTATAGTGCTTAAACAATGTATAGTTACATCATGATAGATTGAATAAAGCTATATCACTAAACAGCAGTTTTAGTGTTTTCATACACTCTTCTAGTTAGGACAGGCGATTTAACACGATTTTTAAAAGTTTGAGTTTGTATGGTGTAAATTTTTAAATTAATTATAATGAATGTTGAAGAATGTGTGTACATGCAAAGTAAACAGATATTTCTTCATTTTATTTGATAAAGTAATAAAATTTCTGGTTAAAATATTTTGAATAAAAATGTTAAGCTAATTAAGGTAAAAGTGTTTTTGTATGAGTTCAGCCAGGTTTAAATTTTTGTTTTCATTGTTAAAGTTACTTCGCTATATATATATATATATATATATATATATATATATATATATATATATATATATATATATATATATATATATATATATATATATATATATATATATATATATATATATATATATATATATATAATATACCCTTAGATTATTATTTGATACCAGCTTTAAAATAAATAATCTACTACAACATTTACTTAATGCTTTTGTTTTATTAAATTGGATGCCACATTTTTTTACCAATAGGTATTATTAAGTTGATATTAGAAGTTCATTATAAAACTCAACTCTAATACTTAGCAGATTTCCTCAGGGAAGCGTGTTAGATCCAAAAATATTCTTACTATTTATCAACGATTTAACCGCTACAGTTAACAACTTTGATTGCTCTTTAAAGATTTATGCCGATGACATCAACCCAGCAAACATTGTTTTAGTGGATTTGCAGTGAACCCATATAGACACTTTTGAGCGGTTCATTGGAGTTTTGCTCATCTGTAAAATGATGTAACATTAGTGGCAGTATCTATAAATAGCCATCCAATTACTTTCCGACATGTTAATAGTTGCTAGTCGTCGGCTAGCCACTTTTGGTAGATTCACACAAAGTAACCAACGAGCAAAACTACAGTGAACCGCTCAAAATGTTACAGATCCACTAAAACTCCGCTAAAGAATGTTTGCAGGGAAGGTATATTCATACAAATCTTAGCTACCTCTTATTTAATGCTCTTGCGTTGCACTTTGGTTAGAATCATGGTAACTACCTAATTCTAACAGTAAGTATTTTGTTCATAGGACTGCATCTGCTTCATTGAGAAAATATATAAATTTTAAAAAAAATTAGGAGTACTTTAGCTTAGTACTTAGCATATTTTAGTACTTTTACTTAGCATGTTTCAAACGTCATCCATGAAGCTAATACCCAGGCATACATTATTTAAAACGCTTGAAGTCTCGCGATCCTAGTATCTTAGTAAGAGCTTTAACTACATATATTAGGACTGTATTAGAATTATGTTTCCCAGTTTTGTGGCCAACTAATGAAGGGAGTCGAGAATGTGCAAAAACGTTTTACAAAAAAAAATCCTGCACTTACGCAGTTTAATCTACTACAACCGACTTCAGTTGCTTAATTTGAAGTCGCTTGAGATAAGGCGATTAAAACATAATTTATAGACTCGCTTCAAAATTCTGCATAACAAGATCTTCATTGATAAATTGATGTTCTTTTTTATTGACAACAAAAACAACACGCGTAAACCAATGTTTCCATTACCCTGCCAAAAAAACTACCCGGGTATTACCCGAATAATTTTATCAATTAGATATCACAGCAGCCATTAAATAACCTATGGTATGTAAATTTAGTCAATTTTGATAAAAAAAAAATCCCATGACTGAAAAAGCTCGTTCTCCGCTGAAAAAGCTCGTTCTGGCTCCACCGATGTTGGTTTAATAGTTAATAAAGCTCTATAAGGTTTTTCAAGGTTATTAGGCGTTGCACGAGTTGCTTGAAATAAACTCATCTCTTTTTTCAAAATCTTAGATCTAATCTTATTTAGAGTAATTGCTCCATGCTTTGTTCATTGAATAAATTAAGCAAATTCAAATGAAAAAGTTTTTTTTTCATAAATTTTTAATGTTTGATAAGGTGTATTAGTAACTACAAAATCAACTGGTAGCTCTTCTCTTGTTTTCTATGGAGTCTTATAAAAAGGCAAGTAGTCAAAGATTTTACGTTATTTTTATTTTTACACCAAACTGATCCTTTTGCTCATCCAAAGTATATGGAGACTTTAAATATTGCATTAAGTATACAAGATCGTGGGTTTCATCTCTCTTAAATTCGGATTACAAATTTTTCTAGGAGAGCAAGGTTTATTGATGTCCCTTGATCTGTCATAAATTAATCTCTGATATTTTGAAGACTTTTTTGGCAAAGGGAAACCATCTTATTTAAATGCTCTTCTAAGCAAAATTTTGCAATTTGGTTGAAACTAAGACCATCAACTGCAACGAATTTGCTTATCACCTCACCAAGAGGCTCAAAGTCTTTCTTAAAGAAAGTATCAATGCAAAAAACGTTTAATGGTTAGTGAAAGTTATCAAAAGTTAGCTAGAATCTTATACTTTGCTAATAGGTGATATATAAGGTTTTTGCTCCATACGCTTTCAAAACTGCTCAATAAATTTTGTACTTTGCACTATCTTCTGTTTTGCTATACAAAAAATGCTCCCAAACACGTGATTTTCTTTGAGAACTGACGTCTTCAAAGTCAGACATTTTTAAAAAATCTATTTTCCTCTGTTAAATGTAGTGACGAAAAATGACAAACAGTAGTTTTACGTTAAATAATAACTATGTATATTTTAAAAAAATAATTATACTTTTTTTTATAAGAAACCAAGACAATTAAGTATTACTAATATATAAGTGTCTTATTTTAAGCCCTCTATTTTCCTGATCTGATACTAAAAATACCTTAGAGCTTATTAAGAGTTATATTGCAATATAAATTGTTTAAATTTTTATTTCCGTATATTGGTTATTTTATGTCTTTCATACGAAATCTAATGCCTTCTTTTATTAATTAATCATATTGTTATTATTGTTATTATTATTATTGTTATTATTATTATTATTATTATTATTATTATTATTATTATTATTGTTATTATCACTATTACTATTTTTAAGTTATTTATTATGAGTTATTAGTGATGTTTCAATTCAATCGATTTAAAAAAAAATATTTTTCTGAAGAAAGCTTCGAACGGAATTCCATATGATTAAACATTCAAATTAAATACTCATTTCAATTGTTATTCTTTATTCTAGATAATGCTTCGTTTTAATTTCGACTTCTGTTAATCTGATATGTCGGTGAAAACTTACAACTCGAACTCTGAATAAAATAAGTTTCTTATCGAAAAGTAACTTGGTGCTAATAGTTTCTTAAGATTTTAGGGATACTTTCTACTAGTTTCTTAGTTTAAAAAAATGTATGCGTGTGTGTGTTTCTATATATATATATATATATATATATATATATATATATATATATATATATATATATATATATATATATATATATATATATATATATATATATATATATATATATATATATATATATATATATATATATATATATAAAATATATATATATATATATATATATATATATATATATATATATATATATATATATATACAATCTTATCACTTAGTACTAGTTTCTATTACAAAATTTATTTTTGGGACACATTGTTAGTGTTCAACAATATCGACCTTCGTGTCCTTTAAAACATTTATTGTTTGTTTTAATAAATACAATATAATCTAAGATACAAGATTTAAAATGTTTAAATTTAGATATGGAATTTTTTTTATGTTAAAAAGATTTAGAATCTTTGTTTCAACTAAGTAGATTTAAAAAATTGAGCGCATTTTTAATTAGTCTTATATTCTTTAATAATAATTATAACCTTTATAACAAAATATATGCTGATATGAACAACTTATAATAAAAATTATTTCTCAAGCCAATTCTACAAAATATAAAATAAAGTCAAAAAATAAATGTAAAATAGAATGTTTAAAAATATTTTTAAAGGTGGTTAAAATACTAAAAAAATAGATATATGTATGCATTTTCTAAATTCGTGACAAATTCTTCTAAATCAAATCTTTTAATATTTCTCAAAGCAATTTTTAATTCCTCTAATGAAGGATTTCTACTGCTTTCTCGCCATATTTGTAACATTTTATACGCTTGATTCAATATTCCATCAACTTCACTTTCTATTTTTTCTAACTCTTTATCGTTTATTAATAAGCCACGACCTAAAGCCATCCAATTAGGTCCCAGATTTATGCTTAATTCTATTATAAATCGTTGGTTTCGTAAAATATCCATAGTGACTAAAGGAAAAGTTTTTTAAAAATTTTTTTAATCCATTTTTTGTATAAGATGCAAGTGTGTACAAATGTGCCGTGTCTGTGTGCGTAAGCGTGTGTGTGTGTGTTTGTGTCTGTGTTTTCGTTATTTTATTAAAACTTCACAAATATGTGATCATAAAGTATACACTGATTCGTTTACAATGTATAAAAAAAATAATGAACAATTAATAAGAACCTATTTCAGTACAAATAATAAGTTTAGCGCAAATAATAAATATAAAAAAGTAACACTGTTAAAAGAACGCATGAAACTTGCAGAAGACCATTTGGTCTTGTCATCAAGTAAATTGTTATTTTCTAAAGTAGAGATTTATTTAAAGATTATTCAAACAAAATATTTTCAAAAATTTTTTTGAAAATTTTTAAATTTAAATTAAAAATTTTTTTTTTGAGATATTATATTTTCTAAAAGTCGACCGTAAAACGGCTTACATACCCTATTCTATATGTTTGATAACACACCAGCATTTCCAGTTATACTTTCAAAAAAATATCAGTGGAAATGAAAACAAAGACAATATAAAAACTTTACAATGATTAGTAAATAAGTTTATTATAAAAAAATTAAAATTTAATAAAGGAAGGGTTGTCAAAAAAGACAACAGCAAAATTATAACGAAAGAAAACAAACCAAAGAAAAATAAGTTTCAAATTAAAAATGTAAAAAATTAAGGTCTATAAGCTTCCGTAAGTTTAAATTAAGAAAAAAAAAAGTAGAAAAAGGGAAAATAAAAGCAAATAAATCGAGAATAAACAGGATTAGAAAGATTGAAAAACAGGATTAGAAAGATTGAAAATGGAAGTTTAAAGGAGAAAATTTTTGGTTAGTTTTACTTCTTTACTATTAAATAAATTTACAATTACTTATTATATAAAGCAAGTTAATAAATAACTATATCAAATAAGTTAAATTGCAACAATAAAATAATTTTTTTTATTATTATGTATTTCACCATTAAGAAAAATTTATAAAATTATTTATTATAAACTGTGAATATACGGCTGGGACAAGAAGAAGACAAATTTAGTTTTATCGCCAATACTCTTAAATGAATATATAGAAAAGAAAATGTAACAAGGTTCTTTTTTTTTTTTTTTTTTTTACCTACAATTACAAAAGTATGTTTGTATCTGTTATTTCTATCAATTTTTTTTTAAATAAGACTGCAAGCAACTACTTATAGAATTGAAAGTTACTGGAAGGGAAAAGATGAAGTTTGTAGAGCCAGATAACGATTGACAGACGACTTAGAAGATTTCAAATTAAATGAATCAAGAAAGCAAGATGAAGGAAGTAAATTCCAAGGAAATGATATTCGAAGAAAAAAACTAGGCGTTAAAGAAGGATGAGACTTAATTTAATGACGAGTAACACGAGAATGAATTTTAGTAGATGGCGAATGAGACGCTAGCTCTTTAGAGCAGCGTCTCATGTGCCATTAAAGTATTTGTAGAAAAGAGAAAGAAATGCAACATTACGACGTTGTGATAATGGTTGGAAGTTGGCTGCAAGAGCAGGTCCAACCTTCAACTATTCAACAAGTTCAACCAATAAGTTAAACTTGTGGATAGAGTTACTCGTTAAATATTTATGATTAGTTTTTGAAAACTAGTTATTAAAAAGTTTCGGAAGCATGTAATTTGTATTTAAGTATGAATAGCGATTTGTGTAACAGAAACTGAAAAAAAGAATAGAGCAAACTCCAAACATTTATATATTTATACTTATATAAAATAAGAATGCATTCAAAAATTTTGTGATGATACCTGAGAACAAAAAAGCCCTAAAATTTTGGCCACAACTGCCCCAAAAGTGAGAGCAACAAGCTGATATTCACTCGCAATATTTTAGGTATACTCTGGGGTAGCTATTAAATGGTAGTTTTGTTTTGTTGCGCGATGTTAGCAAAGTTTTAATATTAGCACTAGATTTGTTAAAAAATGTCTCTTAACCAGCTTTCCTAAAGATTTTTCAAAGTTTTGGTTATACTATTGGGATCCCATGGTAGTAATATAGCGTAATTAAATGTAATGTTTTGTCATGATTATTACGATAAATGCAAGAATATCATGTCAATTTTCATCTTAACACTTTGTTACACAACGTGTACAACGTAGATCAACTAGGATTAAAACACTTTAGGCATCTTTCAGAAAGAAAAATATTAGTTTTACCAACGTTACAAGATAGGAGAAGAAAGGGTGGCTTGATAGAAACAATAAAATATCAAATTGTCCAGGAACTATCACAATAAAAGGCTTCATCGAAAACTTACTAATAAAATATGCAGGTTTTACTATTTAATAAACAGAACGGTAGACGAATTTTTTATTACAAAATGCAATCGATTCTGCAAACAAAAACGTTTTTAAAACTAGAATAGACAAAATTCTGAACTTTTGATGCCAAACTATATTCATAAACTATTCTTATTAAGAAAATATTACATTTAAAATTGTTATAGTCAACACTTTGCAGTTTTGATTCACCAAACTTAAATAGTTTGTACAACATTTTTTATATTATATATTATATTATAGTACTGTATATATATATATATATATATATATATATATATATATATATATATATATATATATATATATATATATATATATATATATATATATATACATATATATATATATATATATATATATATATATATATATATATATATATATATATATATATATATTTACATATATATTGTATATATAATTGTATATTTATATTATATAATAATAAACTATATATTATATATATGATATATTATATATATATACATATATATATATATATATATATATATATATATATATATATATATATATATATATATATATATATATATATATATATATATAATATATATATATATATATATATATATATATATATATATATGTATATATATATATATATATATATGTGTGTATATATACATATATATTATATATATAATAATATATATATATATATATTATATAATAATAAACTAATATTATATATATAATATATAAATCACTTGCATTAAAAGTTTAACCACATGCTCTCTCACAAAAACTTTTCTAGTAAAATAAACTAAAAAAATTAATCAAAACTGCGATTGGTCGCAAAAATTAATTTAAATAGATAAACGAAATTTACATATAAAAATCACCGCAACTCTTGAATTTATTTAATCTTATTAAGATACTTATCTTCAAACAATTTGGTTTTTAAATTTTTAGCTAATAATTTTACTCTATTATTTTGCCATTATTTTGTGTGTAAAAAGGAATTTCTAACCATGAGGATATAAATAGTAAAACTTTTAAGGTTTTAATATATCAATTAAGTTTCATCAATTCACTTCTAACTTTTTTTTTTCGTGTTTAAAAAACGTATTTCCGTTTCCGTAATATTTTTTAAATAGATTTTTTACTTTTTTTTTTTTATAAATAAGAAAATGCTCCACAACTACTGTTTCACTTTTTTTATTTTTATAAATAAGAAAATGCTCCATCTAAGATAACATCTAGATAAGATTAACATTACCTATTGTTAGTTTCTAACAATAGTTAAAAAGATCAAGTTAAAGTTGTCTTGTTTTGTGTGTGTTTGTCGTGTATATATATATATATATATATATATATATATATATATATATATATATATATATATATATATATATATATATATATATATATATATATATATATATATATATATATATATATATATATATATTATATATATATACATATATATATATATATATATATATATATATATATATATATATATATATATATATATATATATATATATATATATATGTATATATATATATATATATATATTAATTAGTAAGAACACTTAAAAATAAAGTACTCAATCTTCTTAAAAGAACAAAGCAATAATAAATTAGTAGAAAATACATTACGTGTTACATTAATTAAAACTTAAGGGGATTTGATATAATTAATTTTTGAGCTCACTTATTAACATAGTTTTTAAAAAGAAACTTATTTTCAGGTTTGCTTTTTGAAATCAATGCCCATTTTTTGTTTGATAAAACATTTTTGGTTCGCATGTGTGATTATTCAAACTTTTTCTTCTAATGATAATTATTTGGAAATATAATTATATGCAGATGCTGTTTTAATGATGGACCATTTTATTCAATTGAAAGTATCTTTCAATTACCTAATGTATTTTGACAGCAAGGAGTCTTTTGAATACTTTTTATTTTTAAAGGATTGTTTATGGTTAGCGAAACGTTTTTTCCATTCACCCTCTGCTAAGCCAGTATATTGTTTATCAAGTACATTCTTAAAGGAAACAACATATTTATATACCACGTTTTTTGAAAAACATTTTCCACTAAGTTTTTTTTTTTTTACAATTTTCTATTGTTTTTTCATCAATAATGTTAAGCAAAGCATCTATTTATAATTCTTTCCATATTTTTTGTGCTACTGTAGCTAATTTTAATTGTGTTACGATTAAAAATTTTACATTATTTATTAGAAGGTGGGAAGTGGTTATCTATTTCTATTTTTGTATTCATTTTTTCAAGGTCAAATTTTAGTTCAAAATTTTAAAATCCACTTTTTTAAGAGCATTTTCGTAAATTTGTTTACAGGAATGAAATACATTTTCATTTACAGGAGTTTTGGTTTAGCCTGATATTATTTGAAATTAGGATTTGTTTTAGAATTTATGGTAGATTTTTTGAGTTAATATTCATACACACTAATTTATCATTTGATGAATTATTGTATACTAATTTTTTCACTTTAAAAAAAAAATTCAACTAAAAAGTAGCTTTAACTTTTTGAAGTAACGGTTTTTGAAGTAGCATTTAATTCTACTGGGTTGATTTCGTTTTATATCTTTTTTATTTTATATATTTTTATATCGTTTTATATCTTAATGCAAGCAGTTCCTCAAACAATACTACATTAGTTAATCTAGGTATGAAAAAAAGAGTAAATAATGAATAAAAGAATAGTATACATCTTTGAAAAGTTTTTAAATTTTCATTAAAACATATAAATTATAATTAAATACCATATATTAGTAGTTGTCCCATTCATTATCGTGCAACACGATAAAACTAATACTAATAATCGTTGTGCGACACAAAGATCATGTTAGCTATCATTATAGTAATCATCATAGTGCGACATGACGACGCTAATGCTTATGCTACTCGCTATTGTTGTTGTCATCGCTATCGTTTTTGCTATCGTTTTTGCTATCGTTGTGCAACACGACACAACTAATATATCGTCATTGCACGATAAAACAATGCTATTGTTTGTCCCACTTAAAAATAATAAATTGTATCCCCTTTAAAAATCAAACTTACGTAAAGACTTTATTTGTTGGTTACACAACTTGACGTGTTCACACAATCTATAATATAATTAGGAGGGCTAAACTAGTATAGTCTTATTTAAAATAATTTTTCGTGTTTTTTCCTGTACCGTTGTTTATGATGGGAAAATAAAGATACCAGACTAAACATAAAAAACATTCAGCAACATCTTTGTGATTCGAACAGTAAAGAAAACCTCCATTTTTTCCACTGTTTGAGAAGGAAAAACAGAGAAATGTCTAAAATGATTTAAAGTGAAAATTAAAAAAAAAAAAAATTGTTTTTATAAAATATTAATCCTGTATTTAACAATGCGCATGTCTAACTCCTTTTAATCATACTTGTATTTTACTTTTACTAAATAATTTTTTGAGCTAGCGACTAGCGAGCTACTAGCTAGCTTTATAGCGATTTTCAAAAGATTTTTTTTTTCTTATTTTATTTTTTCCTAAAGTCTTTAACGTCTTTAAAAATATGACTTTTAGTGTTGAATCTATAATTATGAGAATAATTGAACTTCAAACATTGCGATTTTGTAGCAATGTGTTGCTAGCTACATATCGTAGCTTTGTAGCTAGCAACAGAATATCTACAAATCTATAGCTGGTTGATAGCTAGATATATTAAAAATTTTTACATAGGGACTTTACTACTATATGACGCTAGCTACAATATCTAGTGGGTCTTTAGTTTATTAAGCTACCTGTCCTCGTAGCCAAATCACTGTCTTTATCTTCACAAACATCGATAGCTTTCTGTTAACTTAAAAAAGCTAGCAATCCTCGTAGCCAAATCGCTTTCTAAATTGTAACAATTATAGCTAGCTATTTGCAAACCGATTTCCCACCGGGTTATAAATGAAAACATAAAAATTAATATAAAATAAATTAAATACATTTTTAAATATTAAACAGTTACAAGATGTTTAAAAAATTTAAAATTTAGAAATTTACCTTTTTTGAAAAAAATTTTTTTTTGTCAAAACAAAATAGAAATACTTGATTTAAAATAATAAAATATTTGATTTAAAATAGTTGCTAAAGCTCTCCACAAGTTAAATTGAAATATTATTAAACTAAAATCCATTAAAAAGCATCTTATCTCAACTTAAAGTCGTGTCAAATAAGTACATTATCATATCAAACAATCTCACAAAAAATTTGATTGTTTAGTAAGATAACAACTATCATAATTCGCTTTCTTAACACTTAAAATTGTCTGTTCAAAATGTTTTAGTAGAAAGTTTCAGGAATAAAAAAAAACCTCCCTGGGTGGGAAATGAGCTAGCGACTAGCTAGCTTTATAGCAGTTTTCAAGCGATTTTTTTATTCTTATTTTATTTCTTCCTATTATATCTTTAAAAGTTTGATTTTTATTGTTGAGTCTATTACATTTATAAAAATAATTAAACTTTCAACATTGCGATTTTGAAGCAATTTGTTGCTAGCTACATATCGTGCCTTTGTAGCTAGCTACAAAATATCTACAAATCTCTAGCTGGTTGTTAGCTACATATCAAAACTTTTAGACAGCAATTTTAATACAATATGACGCTAGCTACAATAGCCAGTGCATCTTTAGCTTATTAAGCTACCTGTCCTCGTAGCCAAGTCACTGTCTTTATCTTTATAAATATCGATAGCTTTACGCTAACTTAAAAAAGCTAGCAATTTTGTTGTCTTTTTTGTTACGATTATAGCTAGCTATTGACTAGCCAATTTTCCACCGTGTTGTTACATTTTCAATGTAAAAGGGAATTTCATTCCAGAACCTAACGTTTTAGGAATGAAAAGTGCTTTCTTAATGTAAAACTGCAATTAAAGTACTTTTGACGTCTAAAGACAATAATTAATATATTTAAATAAGGTACACACTTAGAAAAATCTTAAATTATCTCTTGTTGAATCATATTTTTATATCCTATTATTTATTATTTACTTGCTTAAAATTCAGTTTATTTGTTTATAAATGTCTTTGTTCGTTTTAAGTATAAATCTGATCACAAGTTTTATATAAGCCATTATGAATTTAATCACAAGTTTTATATGTGCCATTATGACATATAGTATATATGCCATTATGACTTACATAAACATTATAAATTTGATCACAAGTTTTATATATGCCATTATGACATATATGAAACTTGTACAATAATACAACGTTATAATGCGTAATAACGATGACATAGCAGCAAATTAAGTATACTAATTTTTCCTGCAGTATCCCAGTTTCATTTTTTATAGCTAAATTATAAATTTAGAGCTATTGTTAGCTGCTACCAATATTTTAAGATTAGTTTTTTTTTTAAATTTAGGGTACCATTATTACAAAATAATAGTCTTAAACTTCTAAATTTTTTTTTGTGATTTTTCTAAATTTATAAGAATAATAATTATTCATTAAAAAGGTATTGAAATTTTTTGTGAAATTTTTTCCTGAAACTCATATAATTTATATATTAACTTAATTTACTGAAAGAAAAAAAAACATTTTGATTATTGAAAACAATTTTTTATTCAAGAAAAATAAAAGTACTTATTACATGTGACATAAAATCAATTATAATATAGATAATTTTCTAAATATTTTTTTTATAAGTTTTGTCGTTTTTTTCAAGTTTTGTAGAGTTTTTTTTAATCAAAAATTTGATTAAAAAGTTTTGGTTAAAAAGAATTTATAAAGCTCAGAATCTACATTTAAATTGTATCAACTTTCAGAAAAATCTGGAGGTTACATATATCTAAATTTTTAACTGAAAAATTTAAATATATATTCTTGAACGCAATCAATCATTTGTGTTAAAAAGGTTATTACTTTAGAGTTTTTTAATTTACTATCCACCTATCACACATACATTAAATGTACGCTGTCACACATACATTAAGTGCACCCTGCTTATTAATTGGAAATTAATAAGCAGCGTACACTCAGGAAACGTTATTGTTTTAAATAGAAAAACAAAAAATGTAGAAGAAGCGCGGCAATTCCTTAATATTCTACTTTTTATGGGATGTGTCAGATTGCCATTCTCAAAATACTATACAGTTTTCTAAAATTTTGTCACAAATATTTATTCCGTTAATGTTACGGTTCTGAACTTTTTCGTGACAATAAACATTCGCATAAGAGATGCTTGTGTAAGACCATGGGATCACTTGAATAATACAAATATAACCTGCTGCTTTTATAAAATATATTTCAATTGATGAATCAATGATGCACTGGAAGAGACGTCGTTTAACGTCGAAAGTTAAACGACGAAAAGTTAAAAAAAAAGTATAATTACAAGTATGAGCAAATGTTGTTGTAATAAAAGTAATGAAAGGATGTTGCTGTAATGAAAGTAAATATCTATTCTAGAAAAGGAATTATCAATAAATAATTGTTGGGCCAATCAAGAATTATTGTTTTAGATTTAACAAAGAACTTTCTTGTAATGGTTATTAAATGTATTCTGATAACTTATACAACACCTTTGATGTATGAAAAGACATAATCGGTGCCCTGGCTAGTAAGTCGTAGGGCACCCCATCCCCACCACTATCTTAGTATTATTATTATATTGCTAAATGGTTATTGCTAAGTAATAAAGGAGTTATGCTATTGATTAGCAATATGCTAATTATCAGTACTTGTTTTTGTTATGCTATATCATTGGGGCCAACTTACGCGGATATATCAGGGTAAGTTGGCACATATTAATTTTTATTTTTAAGTTTTTTATTCTAAATAAAAAAATTTAAAATTTAAAGTTTAAGATTGTTGAAATTTACGAATACTATAGTATAAAAATCACTAAATTCTATAAAAAATCCCATAAACATTTTATTTATTTAATAGTTTTTCGTTTTTTTATTTTTATTTTATTTTAATTTAATATTTTCGTTTTTTATTTATAAAATAAAAATAATTTCAATGAAAATTTAAAAAACTTTTTAATAATGATAAAAAATTTTTAGGATAGGTTTCCAATAATGGCAAACGTGCCCTGTTTGAATTTGTTCAACTTACTCTATTATAAGCTTAACAACTAAAGAGCAGTAAACAACTTACTGCTCTAAAGTTGTTATAAAAAACGTTTTTCTTAAACCGTCAACTGATAACGTTAAAATAATATACTAAAATAATTTTTAAGCTATAAGCTTTAAAAGTTATCCTTGTATATTTAAGTACTGTCAAACACCAGCAAGTATTAACACCTCAAACAAACTGTTCAATGTATTTTTTGGCTAATAAAAATCTTCGAAAAAACGTCACAATTTGAAATGTGTCCCATTTAAATTAATTTTCGTTTTTTGTAAAAGTGATTAAAACATTTGATGTTAAGTAGTACCTTCACCTTACCTCCGACTTGTTAAAGCGCTTAGTCTGAGAATAAACACAAATACCCAGCGGGAGCACAACGTTGTTTTAACGTTTTATTTACGTTAGATTTTATGTTAGTACAATGTTGCTGGTTCGGCAAAATGGAAAGATTTTGTAACGTAAAATTGTTACGTTAGATTTACGTTAGATATTGAGATTATATTAACGTAAAATTCTAAAGTTAGATTAACGTTATACTAATGTAAACACAAGTTAGAAAAACATTGGCGTTTTATATTAACGTGAAATTTTAATTGTAATTTTGTAATATCTAATGGTAATATAGCTATAGTTATATTCATATAACTATAGCAATATTGTTATATGAAAATAACGTTTCATGGTTATTATATGAATATAACCGTAAATATTAACATTAAATGTTAAACACAATTACAATCAATAATCAAAAATAATATAAGGGTTTTTAATCCCTTGCAATCTGTTAGAAAAATATTTTTGGGGATATTCAAACTAAAAATACAATAAATGTTTTTAAAGAGTTTTTTTAAAGATGTATTATATATTCTTTTGAATTATAAATTTACAAAAAAACTCAAAATTAAATAATTGTTCAATCGAGAGAACTTTAAAATGCTTCCTATTTGATCTTTTGTTTGCTACCGTCGAACTCTCGTGCATTAGCTGGATGGCTTCTAAAATACAACATGGGATACTGTAAACGGGATAAAATTTAAAAACTTATTTTGTTTATAATTGACTATTTGTTTGATTTTCAACGCTAACATTCAAGGTTCAAGACTAATATATATCTAAGAATAAAAAACATATGTAAGGAAAAACGGATAGGTAGAACAATATTGAGATATTATTTAAGTACCAATTATTGCTTTACACAACTTTTTATCTTTGAATGATACGTTCTTTATATCACCACGAATTTTACTTTTCATACTCAACTTGGGCTTAACATAATGCTCCATAATTCTATAAAAACCTAATAAAAAATAATAAACAATAATTACTTTGTTACATTAGATCAATCAATCAAGCGAACTTATTTAATTAATTATAAACACACATTAGAGTAATAATTCACAAAGTATAATTTTGAAAGGTTCTTTACTTTTTTATAAATGTTTTATACTCAAGTTTTGACATTGAATTAAAGCTGAAACCTGTAGGGAAGAACCTAGTTGAATGGTTTTTATGAAAGACTTTTTAAAAGTTGATAATGTTGTCAAATTTATACATTAAAAATTGTTTGTTCCACCAGGCGAAATGTGGTATTAATTCCCTTTAATGCAACAGTTTTAATATTATGTTTGGCCCATCATGTTTAGACCATGATAGGAATAGTGATTTGGTTTGTTGAATTGTTCTGTTTAACATTTCTTACCACAGGAGTTTATTTACCAATTAATCTTAGATGCTTGTATGCAAATTTGATTTTGTCCTATTTAATCAGCGTTCCATTCTTTAAGGTTCTCCCCAAATATTAATATTAAAATTGTTTGTTTTACTAAATTACTTTCCTTGGGCTAGATTTTTCTATTAAATTTACTCACAATTTAAACAGTTTGATTATCCAGAGTTAAACAAAAAAACATACCTGACTATAACATTTTTTGTACTTTCTTTAACATTTTTTCCAACTGCTTTCTTGAGGTGACAAAGCTAAAACATAAATAAAACTCTAGTGAAAAGTTCATGTTCGAATAAGACAGGGTTCATTTGGTTGTTTGTCACCTTTGTTCTATAAAAGCAACAAAATAGTTGCTCAACCAAATA